AGATTTCATCAGATTAACTCAGAATATAACATGGAAAAGGCATATTTTTGACAGGAATGGTGGGAGTAGGGATCAGAGAAGCAGCATTAGTTACTAGGCAGAAATAGTAAAAACAAACTTGATTTCACAAATATGCCTAGATCTGGTCTTTAAATTGTTAACATAATATCCAAATATTCTCAAGGAGAATCTATTAGTAAAGCATCAATCCCTAGGAGGCTGGATTAACCTTACTTCTAATGCCATATCTGAGAAAGTTCAGCATTTGCTAAATATACACTCGTGGCTATCTCAACACCCAGTGGCCAGGTCCCTCTTTTTAGGGACATATGACAAGTCTGAGGGTCAGAACGGAGTGTCCATCAAAGTCTGACCTTCTTACAGATCCACTGTAAAGGAACTTCACAGCTAGAGGCTTGGAGACCATCTTTGCTGATGGTACCACATTTCTGTACCAAGCTATTAGAAAGAATCCTGTAAGAAATCAGAAAAGTCAGTCACTATAAGGTGGCATGCACAGTAAAGGAGTTGAGATGTTGAAATGCACGAAGGGCTAAAAACTGAGCAAATTCTTTCTCTCTGTTCGGGCTCTGGGGAATAGTCTCCCAAAATGGCAAAAGAATACAAATTGCTTACTAACTTCTCTTTAAAGTGTCATCCTTTTTTTTTTTTTTGCCCTTGCACATTTTTAATTTCCTTCCTTTTTCCCTATTTCCTCTCTTTTTCACTCTTTACTTTCCTCTCCATCAGCTATTCTTGATCTATACCACAAGTGACATAATTTTTCTTTCCTTCTCTCTCTCCCTCCGCCCTCCCCCGCCAGGCACACCTTTGAAGCCCCTTACCTTGAGTGGTTCAGAGCTGACCCATCTTCCCACCTCCAGCCAGAGCTGTTCCTCAGGCCAATCCAGTGAAAGTCCTTATTGACGAAATCTTTGAGCAGGCTCTAAGGGAGAGATTGAAAATGATGAAAGGTCATAAAGATGGAGAAAACCAAAAGAGAGACCCAGTGTCAAAAACATTTGTGTTCCCCCCAAAAATTCATATGTTGAAGCCCTAACCCCCAATGCTATGGTATCTGGAGGAGGAACATTTGAGAGTTAACTGGGCAAAGATGAGGTCATGAGAGCTAAGCCCCCATGATGGGATTAGTGTCCTTATAAGAAGGAGAAGAGACCAGAGCATGTTCTCTCTCTCTCTCTCTCTCTCTCTC